GTTTAGATTCAGTAGCTGGACACTGGAATGCCAGGTAAAATTAAACACAACGAAATGTAAAGTCATGCAGAGGGACTGACTTTTTTTTCCCCCCCCCAGATCAAAGTTGAAGATGGAAGATATTAAAGAAGTAAATAAAGCGCTAAAGGTACTCTACAGCACATGGCTATTTTGACTAAGCAGATGCATTTCATCTAACACCTTCAAATTTCACCACCTATTTTAAAAGATGGCTTTTGAAAAATACCAACGGCTTTGGTAAAACCACCTTTGAATTTTATTCTATAAATTCATTTGTAGCTAGTGAGGTTTTCATTCCAATTTTCTAGGGTCATACCTGGCTGAAGGATGATGAAGCCACACACTGCAAGCAATGTGAAAAGGAATTCTCTATCTCAAGAAGGAAGGTAGTGTTGTTCAGTGGATTTTTTTTTTTTTTCTGTGACAAAACAGAAATGGTGCTGTTGTATATTTTGTTAGAGAAGACTGACACTGCTTCAATTCCAGCTCTCGTTGGCATGATAACTACATAGACAAGTAATACAGCATTTCCCGTCCTAAAAATACGGTTCTACTCGGGCCCCTTCCTTGGTAGGAAGCGGCTGTGGGCTGTGTTTTTTTTCATGATGTGGTTCATCTCTAGTCCCTCTTGGACTGTGTGCTATGGGGACTGGACTGGATGCTGACGGGGGCCACACTGTGCCTCTTGGGTCGCAGGGAGCTGCTGCCAGGGCCTGCTCCATGGCTGGGGACAGCTCGCTCTGCCTGCACAGGGTGCCTGGCAGCCCCGGCACCAGAATTGTCCTGTGGGCGCTTCCTCAGAAGCTGGGGCACGGCTGCGTGGGGACGCACATGGGGTGTGCCCAAGAGCTGCCACATGGCAGCAGAGCGGCTCCTCTGGCCCCTGCCCAGGCCTGCTCCACCTCTGAGCTCCGGGAGCTCCGGGACGTGGCGGGCAGCCGGGCTGTGCAGGGACCACACCGCTGTGTTCCATCCTCGGTGCAGGAGGAAGCACTGCGGGAGGGCTGGGCCTCTTGGGAAGCAGAGGATGTCTGTGCTCCGAAAGCTTTTATAAAGTCTGATTTCGCTCTTCCTGGTGCTGTTTTTAGGCAGCTGTACTTATTGTAACTCTCTGTTTGTAGCATCACTGCAGAAACTGTGGGGACATCTTCTGCAACACTTGCTCCAGTAATGAACTTGCACTGCCATCGTATCCTAAACCTGTCCGCGTTTGTGATACTTGTCACACTTTACTACTTCAGCGGTGTTCATCTAATTCCTCCTAAGGCTTTTGTAACTATGACAGGATGACTTCAACATTGGAAAAGTAGCCATGATTTTTTTTAATTCTCAATTCCAGGCATCTTCTGTGGAGCAGAGTGTCTGGCCTCTAGTGTATTCCACTGTAAACACAGCAGCATAGAATAGTTTGTAGGGATTATGCAAGCTAATGTTTCTCCAACTGGAATAATTAAGAATAAAGAAATCAGCTGTAATTGCCCTTAAAGTTCTATTTGAAACTAAACTGCAAATTCACTTTTCTGATTTTTGTAACTATTTGTATTAAAATTTGTATATGGCACTTCTACATTTATTTGATCCCCCCGATGTCACTCACTCCCTGCTCATGAACTTCAGTTCTGCCGTATGGTCACTGTTGGTGCTCCTGTGCATCTCATGGGCTCGTGTACAGTTTTGTATTTGCTCAAAGTACAGAGAAGTCAATTTATGAATTGTCTATAGAAAGAGCTTTATGATGGGTGTCAATGGATGTGCCTTCAGTTTGCTGCAGAGTCACTTGTTTGGGAAGTCGCTGTGACAACAGTACGGTAGTTACACAATAAAGCCTTCTGCACAAACGGAGAGTGAGACTGAAGGTCTGATTTTTAACAGCAGTCAGTCAGGGATCCTGGAAGAGATGGTTCTCCTATGGCTGTGCATGTTGTATGCTGCAGATACCAAAATGCATCTGCCCAACGTATGCATGCTCACAGTATTCTCCTGGAAGGGGCCAGTGCTCTGCAGAGTAACTCCCTGCTTCTGTACTTCCCCAGGAGCAGCAGGCTTCTTGCTGGGACACAGCAGGGCCAAGGCCCCACCCAGGGGCCTTAACCAACAAGGGCATTGCCCACCTCTGGGCAGCTCCTGCCAGGGACCTGCTGTGCAGCACAGCTGCACCCAGGGCTGGTGCCAGCTGTTCAGAAGCAGTTTGCAGCACACCCACACCGCTGCTGTAGGGCATCAGAGCAGCAGCCGTCAAATCACACCACCAGTAATGGAGGCAGCCAGGCAAATGCAGCCCCATCCCAGCAGCACCCGCGCTGCATGACACAGAAGAGCCTTGGGCCCGAGCAAGCAGGCAGTTGCATACAGGCTGTTTCTTTCAAAGGCTTCATTTGGAACAGCCCAAACATCGATGCAATCCTGATCTGCTCTTTAGCCGTTTCCTTCCACGCTCAACTCTGCTGGAAGCTCAGCAGGGAGAGCAGTCCAAACATCGATGCAATCCTGATCTGCTCTTTAGCAGTTTCCTGGAAGCTCAGCAGGGAGAGCAGTTTGCCCTGAGCTGGGCACTGGCACCAACCCAGCTGCACCTGTGGCTGGTGACTGCAGTCCCCATCCAGTTCCTGAACTAGCTCCACTGCTGCAAAACACAATAGGGTTTTCTTCACTTCTAACCCTTAAGGAAAAATGGTTAATTGGAAAAGCTTACTATTTACTATAGCAAATGTAAGGAAGCAGACTCCCATTTTATTCCAGGGGAAGTTCCAGCACTCAAAGCTCTAACTAAGCAGCTTATAAAACCACATCTCTGAGCAAAGTCCACTGCTGCAGCCCTGTGGCTCCAAGGAAGACACCCCCACACCTGTGTACAGAGCAACTGCAGCTCTGAGCCCAGGCCCAGCAGCACCTCAGCCCCTTCCCCACCTTAAGGCTCTTTGAGCCCCCACCCATTCAGCATCTGCCCCAGCAGGGGCTGCTTTACTTCACTGCTTGTCACTTTGAGCACCCCTTGAGGCCGGCACTGAGGTCAGAACTCGCGGTAGGAGCAGTCACAGGACTCATGGCAGATGCATGTCGAGTCCCACAATCACTGAGCACATGCAGGAACAGCAACACTTCTGCGTGTGTCACTACACCACAGACAGTGGAGGACCAAGAAGGAATGAGTTCCAGTTTTTAAAAGGAAGATTTATTTAACAAGTTTCACTTAGCGCAATACACCTAAAAAGGAAATCACAATACAATGAAAGATTAAATCAAGGCCTCAGAATTTTATACGAACACCAAGACCAAAACCCTAAAGTAGCCGTATTGCGTCTCAACAGGTTTCCCCCATTAACTTAAAAAAAAAAGCTTTAACGTGCCTTACAGGAAAAACTAGAACTAACATGCCAAATGTTCACTTTGAATTTCAGACACAGCTCCTATATTGTTTCTTTACAAAAAAGCATGTCTCTTTCAACATGTACTCAAAACAGTGTTGGATGTAATATGGTATAAGAGCAACATTTAACGTAATTCAAACAGCTTTAACCTAAATACGCTTACTGCTTAAATACACTCCTACAACAAAACTAGCTTGAGAAACGCTCAAAATTGTTTAACAGTTATAGTCTTTACTCAACTTGGTTATTACATCCTAGATGAATGTTCATTTCTGTATGTTCAAAAATACTGAACCTGAAAGGTTTTAAAATAACAATCCTGAATTCACTTACAGTAAAGCATAAATCACAAGCTTGTATTGCAAAACTGTTAAACTTAGTTTTTTGTTTTTTTGTTTTTTAAAAAAAGATTTGACCAAAAGTCAGCGATTGGTTACATTCCCCAGCCACCACTCATGTTGGACATGTTCGACATGCCGCCCATGCCATTCACTCCCATGGACGCACGGTTCCCACTGCTGTAGTAGCTGCTGTTCATGGCGCCCTGGCTCCCGGGGTCTGAGGGGGAAAACCGACAGCAGGTTCACAGCTACTTCAGGCCGCTGCGAAGCATCACTCCCCCAACGCCTGTCCTGGCTGGGCCACCTCGTAAACACCATCGACTGTGCCCAATACTGCAAAGTGTCAGTTTACAGCTCCGTACCCAAAAGGAAGTTTATTGGTTGTTCAATGAAAGTGCCAGCTCTGTCTTGCCCTCCTTTGAATTCAGCGTTCTATCGCTGTTCTGCAGCAGTGGAGAGGACCCAGCCTCCCACATACCTTCCCCCACCTGTACTCACATATTTAAGCCAGGCTGGACTCCAGCTTCCATACAGAGATGGCAAGAAGCCATCAGTCACAGAAGTCCAGAGTCCAGAATCATTTCCCACATTCCCCCCTCAGCTCCAAGTTCCTGCTTTGAATCTATTCCCCCCTAGTTCACCATTAGTTCCAAAGTTCACAACAGTCAAGTCTTTAACTGTCAGGGCTTGTGCTCCCAGTCTGCACCATGGCCCTTCAACCAGTGAACGGCACCTTAAGGCCTCCTAAGCCAGCTGCATCTGGCCCACCTAAAACCAGTGAAGAAATGCTCTTACCATATCCACTCATGCTGCTTTGACCACCGTATCCTCCTCCATAGCCCCCGCTCAGCTGCTGGTTAGCCGGACCACCGTAACTGGATTGGCTTCCTTTCAAGTTAAGGATAAAATCGTTAAGAGCTTGCCTGTCAAAAAGCCCATTTGTTATCAGCAAATCCACCCTTCACCAGACTAACAGCCCCTGTACTCTGGCACTAGCTCCCTCTCTCACCTAGGTAACTTCCTAAGTATGTAAGGTAACAAGCTCAAAGAAAGCAACGGGGTTCCTAAAAATATTCCTGCAGTCAAGCAGCAACAAGAACTTTCTGATTTTCAAGCCCTTGCTGTAGGGGTTTACTTTTCTATGTACTATACCAATCTGCCATTGTGCATAACACACGCCTCGCGAGACTTAAACTTGGCTCTAAGTGACCTCGCACAGGAGTGCTGCCCACTGCAGTACCCAGCCTTTCAGGAGGCATGCCGACTCATTAACTGGAATCACTCATTTGCAGACAGTCCTGACAGAGACCTCTGGCTGTTCCACACTGGCTGCGCATCACAGCAGGGCTGCAGGAGACCTCTACTTACGCTTACTAACTCCCACTTTTTACCTCATCACTTGTCTGTACTCCTATAAGACTCCTCCGTAGTTATAGCATCAGCATCAGACTTCAAGCATTTTGTGATCAGAATACTACAGAAGCAGCAGCGTGTCTACACACACCTACACCCCACCCCACTGCCCTCAAGAAAGCCCCAAAGATCAGCCACCAACTTAATCTCCAAGAAACCAAGCAAGTCAGGCATCAAGAAGGGTATCTGCTTTACAGACACGATAGTGGCCTTAGCCTTGTGTTGCAGACACGCATTTTTAGATTTTCAAACAATTATGGAGTTTGCTAGAGAAGTTCAGTTTCTCCAAATTCCAAATAAGTTTTCCCTCGCCTCCAAGACCAGGTTTGAGTGGCAGGTCTCATGCAACAGATACACCCTCCATCACCTGACTATGTTCTGGTCTCCAAAAAAAGGGAGGGGGAAGGAGAACAAGAGGACAGCAGCATCTCCCACTTCACTTCCACTCCCAGGAGCCATTCATCCCACCACACACACCCCCCACATTCAGCACCACAGCTTATTCAACCTATTAGTTGTTCGAACGCATTCCCAAAAGGTTTATATACCTGGCAATGTGCTAGTGTTCCAATCTTGGACTACCCCTTCCGATTCCTTGACTGTGTGATTAAGACAGAATGTTGAATTTCAGTTTTTATGCCAGGCATAGAATAAGCAGGAGCTGCATAAAATTAGCCAGCTTCGTTAAATATCAAGTGGTTGTTTAAAAGTGCAGTTAGACTGTTTACACATACCCATTGCTCCCATCATTTGACTGCCATAGGCACCACCACTTCCTCCTGCTGTAGAATTCAAGAAGAGTTCTACATATCTGTGTTCTGGAAGAAGAAAAATTTTGCCATGAGAGCATTTCACACCAAACCCACGCGCAGTTTGCCTCACTGCAAGTGAGGCTGCAATAAAACTAATAAAACAGCAGATGCACCACACTGTAGTGCTGTATCTTCCATAAAGTCACGCATTCAGAACAGTCATACTCACGCATATTTGCTTTGTCTTTGGACATAGCAGCCACTGCATCCTCGTGAGTGGCAAATTCAACATCTGCCTCTCCAGTTACTCTGCCATCCGGTCCGATTTCGATGTGTACTCTTACAGGGTTCAGAGGTGAGAAGAACTACATGCAAAATAGTCACACAGATTAAAACGCACCAATGCAACAGTTCGGTTTTACTGCAAGCAGTTTTCTCTAAAGGAACATTCGTTAACTGCGGTGCAGTTGACATGTCCAATAACAATCACAGAATCTTAAAGCCACGCACTTCACGGCAGATTTGGAACTCACGTTATAGATGTCATTCTCCGTAGCTCTGTAAGGCAGACCTCTCATGTGGACACAGTGGCCAGTCGTGCTCTGGAAGGTGGATCCCCCGTCGCCGTATCTGTGGTCCGACATTCCTGCAGAGAAAAGAGTCCATTCTAGGTCTTTCAGATGTATTTTAGTTTCTTTTGAGACGTATTGAAAGTTCAGTTACTATTCCTATTAGAGATCTCTTACCTCTTCCAAATCTATCAGAACCAAAACCATAGCCATCATTATACCCATTGTAGTCATCATAACCTCCATAACCTATAAATAGATTGGACAACACGTTCATTTCAACTATGTATACACAAACACACTGCAGACAACTAGCATTAGAAAGTTCTGTTTCTTCTAGGAGAAGCAAGGCCAAAGACACATACGAACCAGTAGGTACAAAGCAGGGGAAACACTACCAGGTCCAAGTGTTGCTGCTTCTCAGATGAGCAGCTCCCTCTTGGACTCCGTATACTTACCTCCTCCATAAGCTCCACGCCTCATTCTTTCCAAGCTACTTCCTCTACCAAGACTGTTATATCCCCGCGTAAGACCAGGTCTGTCGTAAGGACCGGGTCTCTGCATTGCCAGCAGCTTGCGTGGAGGGTCGTAGTGAGTGCGCACTTCTGCTCGACTACTCTTGAAGATCTCAATGTACCTAGAAGTGTTTCCACAGAAAGAAGTCAGTCTTTTAACTCCTTCCACAAATACCTCACAACTTTACATTAAAACAAGCCATTTAGTCATAGCCTCGAAACTGGCAGTACATTTTAAGCCAAGTTTCTTCACATTATGTAGGCAATGACATATTATTATAAGCACTACATTACTTTCAAATCAGTGTATTTTCAAGAAATTACAATTACTGAAGGGTTTACATGCTCCTCATAGTTCACAGTATCCCAACCTTAAGGGTGGGGGAGCAATATTGATTCCCCACCCTCCTCCCCCCAATTTAAAGTGTTAGTCAAAAGACAAAGGAGGGACTGATGTCCGCTCAACTCAGCACTGTTTTGCTCATGTGGCAATGTAAACAGAGGGTTAAAAGCCTAGTCTCCACCAAGATTTTAACCCATCAGGATGCTACAAAAAGCTCTGCATGTGCTAGTGAACCCAGCCTATGCTTCAGTGATTCAGCGTAGGCAAGAAGTGCATGCTTCAATGAAAAATAGTCACAAGTAAAATAGAATAAAAACCCTTTGTGACAATTTCTTGAAAGCTATGCTTATTACATTGAAGATTAATACGGTAAGAAAATTTGTTACATTTCAACTTATAAAACAAGTTTAGAAAGTATCACATTTTCTTATGGTAATAAGAATACTGTGCATATCTTTAGCTCTAAAGGCATAATTGGTGCTATTTCAGAAGTTAAAGCCATAGTCTCTCAACTTCATCACTTTCAAGCTATCAGTTTTGCCCTCCTCCAGCATTAAGTTTCCAAAGCACACTTAAGCATAGCCCAACTTTATCTTTCATTTTGGGTCAATCCAAACTGTCTGTGCCATACGCACAGTAGCAATACCTTTACTTATCACCAAGTTAGAGACCAAAATACTATTTCTATTTGGATGTTAACACTTTCAGAAGAGAGAATATGGATTTAATTGTTTACCATAAGAAAAGTGACATAGCCAACCAACCATCCATCCCCACCTGTGCCCTATTCTTTCCTTGTGTTTCTTTAGAGCCTTTTCAGCTATTTCCTGTGAAGCAAACTGCACGAAGGCCTCCCCCGTACTCCTCCCCTGGAAGTCCACCGGCAATGTTATCCCATTTGGCACGATTTCCAACCCTTCAACCCAAGGACAAATAACCCCAGTAGGGGGGCAATATTAACATCACAAGCCCAGTCATGAGTTTTTCTTATAGCTTTAAATACACCAGAATTTTAACACTTGAAAGTGAATGGTATGTTGATTCTAGAACACTAGAAGAAAAAGCATGTCAACAACAACAAAAACAAAACCAAAAAAAAAAAAAAAAAAAAAAAAGATCCATGACCACATACCATTCAGTTTACGTTCTTAACCCACCCTGCAGAGCACAGAAACATTCTGAGTGTCACGGACAACTCCTCAGATAAAGCATCTAATGCAGGGTGCATTAAGAAGTTCAGATATTGTTACAAACCTCTTCAATTCTGTGTAAGTATTTAAGAAGAACTTTTTAAGATAAATTCAAACACAGCAAGTTAAACAGCTTTATATAACAAGTATTTTTACTAGAAGTCAATCAGGTAAAGTAATTAGTCTTATGCAAATATCAAGTTTCAGCATTAATTTTTTTATCTTTAGGAGTGCTCAATTAAGAAAAAAATCACGAAGTAATTTCAGAAGTATTAGTTTCTCAACAGAAGAGGCACATTTTGTATATTAAAGTACATTAACAGTTTTTAAAGTTTGAATCATTTAACCATGTAAGAAAGAAACAACTTAAAACGCACATGCTTATGAATTGCTCGTTCACAACATAATACTGATTCAGAAAGCAAAAAACAAGTTCTGAAGTTGCAAAATTGGAAATATTTCTACCGTACTTTAAGGCAAAACAGTAAGCTCAGTCATATCTTCTTACAGAAAAAACATTCCAGCTAATTTTAACACTCACATTTAGAAATCTACTACTTTGAAAATACTACCAAGTTAAACCCTAGATAAATCAACAAACTTCATTGTTAGGCATTTATAATAGTACTCCAGTTCCTGAAACATACAACAGCTGCAAAAGAGTGCGAATGAGTCAACACAAGACATTATCTCTTCGTCCATAAAAACTTTAAGCTAGACAACATCAAGGGTTCCCCCTGCCCCAGGAAGGGGAGGGGGGAGGTGGGCTATCTGTACTTGGGTAAGAGTTCATTTTTCAGCAGGTTGGTTTTTTTTCCTGGAATCTTACTCAATACTAAATCGATGTTTGTAGAGAGAACATGGGCACAATGCATGCCCTTCCTCAGATCCTGCTCCTTGTACTGAGCCCAGCAACAAGGGTGTTCTACATCCTTCACTGAACAGTGCAAACCAGCTAAGACGGTGGGTGGAAATATCCTCCCATCCGAATTGTTCACTTTGAATTTAGCAAGCAAGACACTTGCTTTCTGTTAGCCTTACTTGGAACAGTATGTCCCGCTAAGTACAAATTACAGTGACTTTGTAGAGTTCCCTCAATTATTTAGTAAACAAATACTGCAGGCATTGATCTCTCAAGTCCAGATAACTAACGAAAAATTGCTTATTTACTTTTAATACCCATCAGTATACTGTTGGAAGTACTACTGGGCAATCCGTGGTCGTTTGTTTTTTGTTGTTTGGTTTGGTTTTGGTTTTTAAGCACAGATCAATAGTGCTACAGCTACTACTTTTATCCCACATACCTGAAAAAAACTGTACAATTTCTTCTTTACTACAGCCAAATGGGAGTCCTCTAAGACGTACAAAACCATCATTAGCTGTATCAGGGCTGTTGGGACCAGTATGCTTCAGAACCCAATCCATTTCAACGTTGTTTGACTTGAAAACTGTAAAAGGCACTTAGAATTAATGCATTCTGGAATACACAACAGTTTTAAAAACCATTTGCCTTGAAACTAGTCAACTATTATATACAAGTTCGTTTGTCCTTTCACATGCATTTTTAAGAGACAGAAAAGCAATTGACCAAAAACCCATCAAGCACAAACACATTTAGTCAGTTACTAGACCAACTGAGTCAAACCTTCAACATATCTGTGTCCCATTGTTTCTCTGTCTTTTTTCAGTGCCAATTTCACATCCTCCTCTGATTCAAGTTCAGCAAATGCTTCTCCACTTGGTCTGCCCTCCCTGGTGTAGATGAAACGGATACCCAAAGCCCCATTGAGAATTTTGCAATCTGAAAATGAAACAGGAAGGCCAGAGTTAATTTAATTATTACGGGAACATTGTGACTTAAAAAGAAAAAACTAACAACTATCAAGTTATATCAAGATGAGAAAACCAACAGTATTCTTGTTCTAACTTTTACAGTGACCGATAAACTAAGGGACTAACTAAAAATCAAATCGCCCTTGTTGTCAAGTTGGATGATTAGCAAAACATTAAGGACAAATGCAAATTAGCTATACATTTTCAAAGCTTTGCTGCCTCAAATCAGGCTGAACATGCTATTTGCTTTTAATCGCAACCGACCTAAGACTTTCTCACCAGCATGGAGTGAGATAAGGAACAGTTAGTAGCAATCTGTAAGTGCAATTAAGTCAGAACCAAGTCAAATATGTCAAACTCCTGAAGCAGCTTTAAAAATCTTCAGTCACTGAAGAAAGCATGTACTTATCGCTATTTATTACCGCAGAATGCTACTGAATTTGGTAAGGACACGACACACTAAGCCCTAACATAAGAGCTTATTAAGACAGCAGCAAAAACTAAACTGATTTAGTTCAACCTTTAAGTTTTTAAAAGAGAGGCTTCTCTCCTCTGGCTGCTCAAGAAGCTAAGGCAGTTGTGGCTATCCCAGCAACTCACAGATTAAACTCCTTTGTGTCTAGTTCCTGCTAGCAAAAGCATAGTTGTCCACACTGCATCCTAGCCCGTGCATTTCCTGCACTATAAACTTCATTAGGTAGTGAAGTGCAGTGAATGCTTTCTGGAGCTGCTCACTGCGGCATTCCCACTGCCACAGTGTCCCCAGAAGGAACACAGAACTGGCAACAGAGGCCAGCCCAGACCCTCTCCCAGACCCCCAGTTCCCCCCCCAGTTCTGCTTACCGGAGAAAAACCTCTGCACCTCCTCGGTGGAGCAGGACCAAGGCAGTCCCCTGACTTTCACCACGTATCCCTCACTGCTCTCTGTGTTGAGCATCACGTTGGGGGTGAGGCTCGGCTCCGTCTCAGCTTCTGTGGTTGCTGGAGAAGACCAAAGCAGGCCCTTTGAGATGCTGCACAGCACAACCACCACCCTCACCCCCTCAG